AGGGAGTTTTGGACCTGGTTTGTTGCTTGGGATCTGGGGTTTGGGTGTTGCTTTATTGACTTGGGGTCAAGCTCCCAGCCTCAGGCGTAGGGATTAGAATCCAGGTAAGGGCTAGGAGAGTGTGGAGTTTAGTCAGCTTATTTATACCTGGCTACTGTCCGTATCACTTCACTGAGCTCACAGAATGGGCGTAGACTTAGATATTCTACATATCACCGACAGCTTGCTGACCCCGACCTGCACATCCTAGCCTAAATCTGGTTTGGCAAGAGGTAAGCTAAGCTGCTGCATACGCAACTGGAATGCACTTCATCAATCACATGTTATTGTCTTACTTTCTGGGTGGGCTACGGCTTTTGGAAAACGTTCCCACTCTTCCAAGCAAGGCTTCAGACCGTGAGCAGCAAAACAAGAAACTCCAAATGCTAAACTCTGCAGAGTCCTGGCGCGAGAGAGCGTCAACGCTGATGCCATTCACTGTAAGGAGGACGCTTCCGGCCTGTACCTCAGAGATTTGCTACTGGGTTTAGCGCCCTATCAATCTCCAAGGTTTGAGCTTTTCCTTCGATGTTCTCAAAACCTTAGCCCAGATGAATTGAGCCTGGCGTTTTAGGACATCCCCTATCGTAACAACTACCGCCTAGAACTACATGAAGTAGGATGTTTTGAACGCAACTCATATGGGTGGTTGTCAAAATTATGGTCCCTGTTTGGGTACTTTTAAATTTCAGGTGCCGTATTATACAGGGACCGAAATTTTGACAGCCACCCATATGAGTATTTCAATTCTCATACTGTTGCAACTACATCCTGCATAGGCAATTTCTCTCTCCTGAGCGCCCTGCACTCTGGATAATCAGCGGAGCATCGGGGTGCACTGCATCGACACACATCGGCCTGCACTCTCTGGTATCAAGCGCATGCAGGCACCATCTTGGTGTTGGGTTGGGGCTGGATGGGAGTTTTGCCCGTTGTGGGGGTCTTGTTCGTTGTTTTCAGGGAGGAGCGTCTGACCGTGCAAATTTTAAGAGAGCTACGCATACCAAATAACAAAGGGTGCTCGCAACAGACTACATGCAACACAGCACAAAGAAAAACGCACCACATGCGGCCTTAAAGCGACAGCTCTTACTCGTGCATGCATGCATACGTACATACATTCATTACTTGCAGACAGACAGGCAGACAGACAGACACAGTTGACAAACACACATAGCATGTACAACAAGTGATGCCGACTTTTTGCCTGCTCAAATTGGGACACCCTTACGCCGCCCTCACATGCGGGGATCCATGTTATAAACACCCCAGACCATGTATTCTGGACATGCACAGGACTGATGCAGAGACACTAGTCCTGTTCAGCTCCCAGACAGAAGCCCGCACTCACTCTACAAACATCAAATGGGTAAAGAAGTCAGGGGTTACATAGATATGGGTATATGTGTATATGTGCGTTGGCTTAGAGTACTATCTTACGCTCGTGTGTGTATACACCTACATTTCCATCTGTTACAAGTATCTTATCTGGCAGAGGCCTCCCGGGAGAAAGAGCCAGCCCCACGGGTCCAGTGGAGGTGACTGTGACCTGCATCCAGCGAGTTTCTCTTCGAAGGTTCAAGTTTCAATCAGGTGCTGCGGGCTGCATCCCCAAGGACCGAAAGGAAACACGTGACCTGCAGAAGAGCCTTGCAACAGGTCAGTGTCTCGGAGTGGAGAATGTGGAAGCAATTGCCAAGGAACTGTGGAAAGCTGGGGTCTTGCCATGCGTTGCGGGAAGCGCATGACGTTGACTCAGGCAAAGCAGCATGTCTAGTCTGACAATAGCATCTCTTGAGCTTGTATACAAGACTCAGCGGTTTCAATTCACTGTTCTCGACATTGGGAGGGCCGAAGTCGCGGTCTCTTTTTTCAAGGTTTAAACGTCACACAGAATGAAAGATTAAGTATTGCAAATCACAGAGGAATTGGAATTACTACGCAACTATTCAAATTTTCCATGGTACTGTCATGCAGCCAACAGTACCGTGCGCATTGTAATACAGGAATCGCAATGAAGCTTGTCCCCACGCAAAAGCTCAGATTGCCGACGCCTCGAACTCGACGGGGTCCAACGTGGCGACATCCATTCTGCATTGCCGAACATCTCTCTATACAGGAACTCGCGATTCTCTTTGAGGTTCGGTAGGTGCTGGACTGTTTCCGTTGTCTACGCTTTCTGAGACAGAACCCTGCAACGCGTGTGGAACTGCCATGCTATCCATATCAAGTAATGTATGACAACGATTCGGCGCAGGCTCCTTCTCTGTTTGCGAGCTGAACTACCTGACATGCTCCTTGAGCCAGACTCCCTCAGACAAAAGCCTCAACATCGCGCGGCGTTCATTTTCAAAATGCATTCTGAGCAGGGACTGTGCAGGCAGTCAGGCAATCATGAGTTTGCTGACGGCTAGCAGCACGTGTATTTTCCGTCGGTAGAATGGAGAGCGCATCGGTCTATTGCACCATCAGGTTGCGGATGGCCTGTAGGCAGCGCTTCTCTGAAGAATTGTTCAAGAGGCATTGCAAGAGATTGCACTCTGCCAAACTACGGCCACATCATCCCCAGTTAGGACGGTTCTTTGCATGTTGTCCTGGAACTCCGTTTGAAGCTATTGGCATTGCAAGATGGCAGGGTGCTGCATGGCGAAAGATTCCCTGCAGCAAGGCTTTCAAATCATCCTCTTGCCACTTCGGGGTCACAGCTTGAAATTTCTGCGCGCCGGGGCTGAGTTAGCAGGCCGAACCGACATGGAACATCAGCTCTCTATCCCAGACGCGCACAAGGACCTTGCTGGCTGTGATGTGGTGCGACTTGATTACTGTAGGAATGCGCTGAGCGTTGCATGTTACAGCTTCATACACATATGCACTCGAAGAGAAGCACTATCTGACTTACAGCATCCGTGGCCAGCTCACATACCGCCAATGAAGCGGGCAAATCTTGCTTGGGCTCCAAAGATCGTGCTGAAGTCTTCCTCGGCCAGCGAATAGCAGCAGAGACAGGCCACGATTAATCTCTGCCCTTGTCCCTCGTGACTGTGCCCTCTGCCTTGTGCTCTGAATGCTGAAGTCCCAAAATGCGGTGTCCAGTGTCCATATCTGGATGCTCAGGAGTTGCCCATTACCAGGGTACTGTTTTGCATGAAGTATACATGGCCTCCTTCAAATACCGCCCTTGACAAAAACAAATCCTACACCCTATGCGCGCAGCCCTGGGCCCTGCCCTACACCCAACCCCTCCTCCATGCAACCCTGCCCCAAACCCCAAGGTCCCTAAGATCGGCTCTTTGTGCAGCTCCTTGCGCAATTCCATGACGACCTGACAGGTCAGGCAAAGTTGTTCTACCCTTCTTGCAAGGGCTACCTGGATTTCTAACCCAAGTATAATACATCTCCTGAATGCACCAGTCTGGGGGATGGTTGGGCTAGGCTCGACGCATGGAAGGGAAGCTGAAGCGCCCTTCCTAAGCTTGGGGAACCTGCATCTGCCTAGAAGCACGTCATGTCCCTCCTTGTCTGAAATGCTGGCTTGCAAAAGCAAAGCATTTCACCACATGAAAGCTTTTGAAGCTGCATCTGCAGTGTGCTTTAGAGCCTCTGTCTCGCTCCTTGAGCGGGTCTTCTGTTCACGAACGACGGTCAGTTCCTGCCGAGCCGGGCCGCTGAAGGAAGCCAGAACAGTCAGAGAGTTTATGCATATAGCACATGTTGCAAACAAGCATACATCGTGGTCACAGCAACATGCATCGCTGCAAGGCTCCGTGTCCTGGCTCAATCGCTCGAATGCCTCGGCAATTCTTGTCGCACGCTGGAGATGTTCCTGCATGTCACACGGCATTCGTGCATTCGTCGGCCCAAGTCTCTGAAGCAACATGACTCATCTGTGTCAACTTCATGCCCATGCAACGCTCTACATCCGTCTGTGTCTACATCCATCTGTATATGTCTTAGGGCATACGGATAGGTTATCCCCTTGCCCAGTTTATGCGGATCTTTCTCGTCCTTGGCTTCAGCGATCTCGCCAGCCTGTCCAGAACCCCAAATGCTCACTGGGCCACGGAAATCATGCAAATGGGGGGGTTCTCACAATGAAGGGCCTGCATATGGGGATTAAAAGAGAGTCTTCCTTAAGGATAGCTTTGAAACACTTCCAAATCTTGTCACGGCTACAGGTACCGAAATGGGCGTGCATGAGACTTCCCTCAATGTGCCATGCCTCCATGAGCATGAAAGCTTTGCGAGTGAGCTCATCCTCGGATGCTGAGGATCCAGCAGCCCTTTACAAAGCTTGGGAAGCATGTTGCAAAGCGCTACACAGCCTTGGAGGGTACAAGAACCCAGTTGTAACATGAGCGTCTTCCTAACTAGCACAAACTAGTGTTTATTATGACCACATATATGCAAGCCTGGATTTGAAAGCTGCAAGGCGCAAGAAGAAGTGGCAGCCGAACTGGACTCATGGGTAGTCTTAAGTTAGGCTATGAGTTGCTACCTTGATGTAATATGTACAGTATATGCATATATTGCAAGCCCCCAGCAGACCTCAAACTCAAGGCCTAGTATGGGCCGAGGTGCAATCACATCAGCACGTTGGATCGAAGTCATGTCGACCAGATCAGTCAAAAAAGCCTGCGTTCAAAGAAGGGAGGGGGCGTGTTATGGAAGAACTTACACATCCTCTGCGCACAAAATCGGATTATGCAACCATCTTGCGACAAATTATGCACCACAATGGTGCATCCCAGAAGTCCTCAATATACTATAATAGTTTCCATTTTGTTTTCCATTATCCCATTATAACCCCAATATACTACACTATTTTCCATTATCCCATTATAACCCCAATATACTATAGTAGTTTCCATTATCCCATTATAACCCCATATACTGACAAGCCCTGCAAAAGAACTTCACATCTCCACGATCCATGGGAGAAACTGGCTTCCCAGGTTGCTTTCCTCGTCCATTCCGCTGACTTCGGCTGCAACCTGCCAGAAACGGGATCTGGCGGGCACATGTGGCTGGAAATGGACAGGTTTATACATGTATACTTTTGCGGACACTAATCCGACATGGCCATTGAGAGGTGAGGCGCTTCTAAACAGGCCTCTCAGGATTGGACTTGGGACCATTGTGTGCAATGCAAACCCTCTTTTCAACTATAGTAGCTTCCATTCTCTTTTCCATTATAGCCCTATATAACCTCAACATACTATAGTAAATGTGGTGCTGTGAATGGGTCTAAGGCATGGGGCCTTCTATGTGGGGAGGTCTATGCATCAATATCCAAAGGCTCTAACAAGAATGCAAGCAAACCACGGACAAGGCTTCATCATGATCCTGCAACTACCCCCACCCTAAACCCTAAACTCTGAAAGGCACCCCCCCCCCCCTTTAGCGTTGCCTCACTGATCAACTCCTTCGGCTCCTTCGTGCTGTCTACCTTGCTCACCACCTTTCGCTCCTGGCAGGGTTGGTAGAGTTTCGGGATTTGGTAGGGTAGGGCTTCAAGGTCTACAGGGCTCATTTTTCAAAGCATCGCCGCGAAACAGCAGCTTTGATGTTGGATCTTGTTTCGTGTGGGGGCCCCCTTGAAAACAAAACGGGGGGCTTCCATCCTAAAAAGTCCTCAAAACTACGTGGGGTGGTGTGGGGGATCCTATGGCTCCTATATTCAAACCAACAAGGGAAGGGAGATCCTTTGACTTCTCTTGTTTGCTTAAGGTTAAGGGTTTAGGGTTTGGCTCAGCTTAGATTCGAAAATGATGGGAAGGGCAGTGTTCTCCGTAAGACGAGTAGAGAGGAAGAAGGGCGGGGTCCCCGGCAATAGCGCTCGTCCTGTAGGTTTAAAGGCGTGGCCTTTTAAACTTATTCAACCAACTACAATCGAATTAAAGCCATTGCAAATGTGATTTGATCAAGTAAACACCAATAGAAATCTACTAGAGAGCGGATTAAACGCAATCAGCAACAAATTCCAACTAGAATGGCCTCTCAATTTACCCACCAACAACATTGTACACAATTGGGATCCCCCCGCCTGCTGTACTATTGAGGATCAGGGGTCTGCTGGAGGCCCACCCCCTTGGAATTTGATTGCCTAGCCTGTTCGAATGAGCCGTTTATGCACAATAATGTTTTTGAGTGGCATCAGATTCCAGGTTTCAAAAGTAGTAGACTTTCAGGGTTTAGGGTTTAAGGCTTAATAGAGCCCGGACTTCAAATTTGAAGTTCTGGCAAGTCAGAAGCCTCACCCAGATTATCCCAGATTTTTGCAGACAACGCTTCGCTGAATTGACTCCCCCCAAAGTCGCATAGGGGGTCCAGGATAAATTCTGAAAACCTTAATTGCACCCCCCGAATCGGGATTCAACATTACTGTACACCCGCTATTAGCAAAATGGTGCAAATCAGCGTTCAAAACAAAAGCATCAAGAGTTCTCGTAGCAGTTTGTAGTGCGTCACCGTCACCGGTACTCAGTTAGCAGAGGGAAGGCCTCACACTCTGGACTCCTTTGCTGCCACATCATATCCAAACGATTTTCTAACCCGAACCCTGAAGGCCATGGGTGGATGACGACCACAACCAACAACGACCTTCAAACGTTGGAAAACGTCGGCTCTGCATGCAATCAGTCCCGCACAGCTTCGCGGCCACTCTTGACGCGGATTCTTGGAATTTCATGTGCAACCTGAGGCAATGAACTATGACCAGAAAGACAAGGATGTAGTACGTTGTTTCCTTGGTGGCAGTTGTAGTGGAAGCAGCGGTAGTCGCAGTGCAGTGCAACGGTAGGAGCTGCGGCGATAATGATGGTGGATTAGGGGTAATGGCATTGGCAGTGGCTACGGTCGCGGCAGTCAAAGAATCAGTACCAAAGCAGTCGCAGTGGAAGTAGTAGTGGCAGCAGAGGCAGCAGCTGGCAGTGGTGCTTTGGTTATAACTATAGGCGTGTGTTGGTTTTGCGGGCAGGGGTATAGCAAGGATGAGAGCTTGGTTTTCTGCCAGAAAGTTGTTCTGCTGAGGCTGGGGCTGTGAAGCCTGTGCCCATGTCCAGCCATGTGATGTCCTGCGTTAACTATGTTGAGGGTCAAATGCTCTTTGATGCTGGCCCCGGGTGAATAGTCTCGGGAGTTTTGCCGGTGGCAAAGTGACAGCCATGGATACACACGCCTAGGCACAATTCCACGACCAGCTAAGCAAGGACGTTCACAAAGCGTCGCTGACTTATGAATGTTGCCTATGCACATCAAGGACACATCCACACCGCCCAACGGAAGACCTTTGGATCAACCACTGAATCGGGTTCATTGCTTAAGGTGCAAGCCAGGCTGTATCAGTCCTGTGGGTCGTTGCGCTTTCGCTTCCTTATGCACTGTGGACAACCAAGATGCAGGAGCGAGGGGTCTGAAAGGCTTAAGTAATGTATAGCCAGCCTTGTTGGGAGAAATGTCCGCATCTGTACCCCATGCTGAGACTTGCGAAGGATGTGTTCAGGGGCCGTTGAACTCACACCCCAGGCTCTCCATCAGGCTCTCACCGGACAACTTTGAATTTTAAGAATCTCCATTGTAAAGTCGTCTACACGGCAAGTCAGAAAGCTTCGGGTTGAGCCACAATCTTCTTTACGAAATGTGGTGGCAGAAGCATGATGCTTTGGTGTTGCAAATTGGACTTCTTTTTTTTGGCTCATGGTGCTGCTCGCCTTGGCAGCACATGAACTTGTCAAAACACAGATGATATGCCTGACGCACCTGTAAGTTCTCCACAGACCACGGACCCCATGATCAGCTCCTTTAGCTACACAAACACATGCTAGGCCATCAGAAAGTCAGTGCTTTCCCATGTTACCACCCCTTTCTGTATGATTGGAGTTCCCTTGATCCGGCCGTAGACCAGGACCAGAAGCCGGAAAAGAATGCAGATCATCGTGCACGTGGCAGCTCCCAGTAGTTCATCCTGGGCATGTACAACCAGCAATACCATCCCCTACAGTTCCAAGTGCGTACGAAAGTGTTCAACTTAGGGTGCCCCCTTGTGTCCCCGAAACGATTAGTGTGCTCATTTTGGTACACAGGATATTGACCAGCCTCTAAGGTATGTGCAGACCACCACACAACCTACTCAAAATTATTCAGGCTGATGCAGTAATTATCTTCCCGAGGCCCTTGCGACAGCTCTGGCACATGATCTTGTCCCTCTTTTGGTGTGGCACGCGCTCGGAGGCGTGCGGCGCGGGTCTGTGAGCAAAGGCCGCTAAGGGCGCTCGTGGTCGGGGAATCTGGGAATCATTACAGCAGCCGGTGCATGTGAGGATCATGGTTCATTAAGACAGCTGGCAGATGCCTGGTCTGTTGGGTCCGTTTGATACTTGGGATGAAGTAAAGGATTTGAGAATTGGGGCCGGGAATGGCCTTCAATTCTATAGCTTCTCCTGAAAGATACGCTCAAGCGTAGCGTCAAGTCAAAAGAGCAACATCGGGGGCTTGGCAACCAAGTGATGATGATGATGATGGTTATGAGGAGGAGAATTGTGCGATGATGGAGATGTCAGTGAAGGAAGTGATGACAGTAGTGATGATGATGATCATCATCATCATCATGATTTTCATGATCATGATGGCGATGATCATGATAATGATGTAATGATGGTGGTGGTGATTATGCTGCTGCCGGTGAAATTTATGTGTCACTTCTTGCAAGATCGTGTAAGAAATATGCCCATTTAAGCTCCCTTGGCCCTGGATTTAGCCTGTAGCCACCTTGAACTGAAGTGTGTGACGCCGTGCCTGAGTACGTTACCAGGGCAACAGTAATCTAGCCGGCAAGAGACAGCGTTTGTCTTCTGCAGATCCTCGGCATTTGATTCAAATTGCCAGGAATCTACAGAGAAATTGACAGTTCCTATGGGAGCGGCAGTAGATTCAACATCACAAGATCATTTGGGCCTGCTTGGCCAAGCAAAGGAGGATGGGGGCTGCAAACTTCAAGCCGCCGGATCCAAACCTCAGCATGTTCTGGAGGTGAGCGTAGGCGTCATCACGCAGAACAGTATAATGTATAGTTTCGGCATTTTAGAACAAGAGCGAGAACTCATGCGTCAAACATGAGCCGAGCTTCTGATTTTGTGTTGTAATCCCATTGGGGTAGCAGGCTGCTACTAGAGTTACAGAAGACAGGAGACATCTAGATTCTGCCAAGAGTAGGTTGGGATTCTGTGACGCTGATTCTAGCCCACAACCACCTAGGGATCTGGAGGCTTGCACGTCATCGAGGTCAATAATTCATCTTTCCTCAAGATCCCAGCCAGAATAGCCAGAGCATCAGGTGTCCTTCCATAAGCATGCAAAGGGGAGCAGGGATACCTGCAGAAATTGCCTAATGAATGGTAAGAAGCATTCGGAACATCAAGCTCAAAGATCCTGAGAGATTCAAGATTATGTACTCTATCACACGATGCCGCCTGAATTTGATTGTATTGGGAGGTACTGGGGGATTGCTTGTCCGCAGGGATCCCTTGCATAGGGCAAAAGGTTGTCTGGGCGAGGTACATAGGAGCTTCTAATATAGGGTTCCCACTTGTGTCTTTCCAAATTTCTGAAGTTCTTTAATTTAAGGCTTACTATGGGCCCCCCCCCAAAAGCGTACCATTAATTCTTTGGAATCCAAATGGGGTAACAATACCCCTAATTTTGGGAAACTTGCTTGAGGATTTGAGAAGCCCACCATGGGCGAGGAGGCGAAGGAGCCTGGCTCAAAAATCAGGTCACCAGGGAAAATATCCCAGAAGGTCCAAGTAGCCAATAATTAGGTATTGGGGTCTTGGGTAGCAGTTCAGAGTAATCATAATACAGGTTTTGGGTAGCTATGTGGTTATACTGGGTCTTGAGTGACAGCTCATGGTAAAACAGGTTTGGGGCAAATAGAAATGGACCCGTTAGGGTATGCTAGCGTCCTACCAGCTGTGGAGGACAACTGACAGAAGCACAAGAACGGCTCCACAGCGGGCTTCTGGTAAGCCTGGAATTAACGAACCTTTTTGTGAATTGTATTCTGATGATTCCTAGAAACTGGAACATGTGTGGACAGAGATGCTGATCTTCAAGCATACATGTGTCATGGTAGCATGGGCAGTGGGCGTGACGGTCATTGCCGCTGTGCAATACGCTCGTGTCAGGGTCAGTCTTGCTCGTGGCTGCGATAGTGGCTGCGGTAGTGGCGCTGACCGTTTTGCAGAAGCGGCAGCGGTCGATGGCAGAGTCGGACATTGACAACTTCGGCAGTAGCGCTTCCCTGGGCCAGCAATCACCAATGCATTCTCCTGGACAACGGCGTGCCTGCGTCGAAGAAGGATGATGCGCGGGCAAAACCTGCCTGGCGAGAAATAGGCGATGTTTTGGGATCATGGGGGAGTTGTCAGAGATCCCTTTATGCACTACATGTGGGTTAGCTATTTTGGAGAAATGTCACATTAGAGGGAGCCAGCAGTCAGCAACTGTTGTATGTGGTCACTCTGATTGGGCGGAGATACCTGGTTGCTTCTCAAAATCATTGCCCTTTGATGGGGAGTCCCAATATGAGGGGATGCAGTTAATCACGTGTCTGGAGTGGACCCTAACTTTGAAGAAGCACAAAGAATGACCCTCATCGGTATTGTGCTTGCTTTTCCCAATCCTACAAACACTCTCACCGAATCTAGCAATCATACACAAGAGGGTTTGGGGGTTCATTACTATATACATCTCTACCAAGAACAAGTGCTCCTAATATGTACTCATCTAGCCCACTGGAGGCGCACCCTGAGGCAGCTGGAGAAACAAAGGCGAGGCTTGCCATGGCTCAAGGCGGCTGTGCGTTGGTCGTGAAGTTCCTGCAAGAACATCAGTTCCTGACACAAAGAGACCTAGATACAACATATGCTTCATGATTTCGGTGATTTCCGCAAGGAATGTCCTGATTGAAATTAGTCGGTGCTTGAGGCTATATGAGCAAAATGGCCCATGGGCAGCGGCGGGACTGCTTTCAAAGCATCTTATGCCGAAGCGCTCAAGGTAATTCTTCCCATGGCCCTATCTGCAAAACAGTGGACTAGGCGCTTTTCCTGCACATCGTCTGAATTTCTTGATTTCCACATGCCCCCGTCGCGGCACGGGCACAGCCGTTGGGCTGCTGGTCTTTGGAAAGCTTTGGGACTCCACGAGCCTCATCATTCCAACCAGACAACTGCTGGAGCTCCTGGGAAACCATCCTATAGTCCCCCTTAAGTAGATATGGGGTTATAGGGGTTATTTTGGGATAATGGAAAAGAAAATGGAAACTACTATTTAGGGTTTAGGGTTTAGTGGTTATAGTCCCCCTCAAGTGGATAGAATATGGGGTATATGGAGATCTTATTACGATGTTGGGCAATTCCCGAGTCTACCTACTGACTATAAACCTATAAAGCCGCAGCCTTTCTGGAAACAAACCCACCCTAGGATGGCTTCAGGGAGCCAGAAGAGCAGTTTCTGGGCTCAACGTTGCTCATCAAAAGTCCGGTCCCTGGACAATTACACGCCATGGAGACATGGAACCTGCAACAATGCCCTAGAAAAACTCCGGTCCTTGCTATTCACCCTCCAACAGGGACCAGACTTTTGAGAGACCTTTCCCTAGCCCCTTCCAGCCTGAGATCTCACGACCTCAGGAGAGGAGTTGCAGCCGACGGCCTCGTGCTCTTCGGGGCAGCTCGGAAGGAAGAAAGTGGTACATGATGAGGAGGTACAGCCATAGCCAGGGCCTGGCGAGGTAGCCCAGATGCTTGGAGTTTAAAGGGGAAGGGGGGGGGGTAGGGGTGAAGGGCCTGGTCGGGGTTTAGGTTGCAATGTACAGGCTTATAGGTTAAAAGGGTTTCCTGGAAATCTCAATTCTGAGCCCCATTCTCCAAGTCACCGTGACCCTGTCGCATGAGCAGAAAAATTCAAAAGGCGAGGTGGCTGGTTATGGCTCTAAACCGTAAAGCCCGAAAGTGGGAATGACGAATTTACTGTCAGGCGAGGGCAAGTGTGGAATTAGGGTTTAAGGCTTCAGGGGAAGCCCCAATGCCTGCAAGCGTGGTTTGGAGCAGGAATTTGGGAGTATACCATCCAATATCAAGATGGTTAAGAGGGACTTGAAGATTGGGATTCTTTTGGAAATCTTTTTGTGCTGACAGCCTTCACGAATGCAATCTTGGTATCATGGAATATCCCCATGGCTAAAACGATCACAACCAGGACAGAACATTTGGGGCTCCTTTGGCAGAGGCTTCAGGAACCAATGTGATCTTGAAAGCTGTTTGATTGGACATCTGGTTCGTGCCGTAAAGATAGGATGTGTGCTCGAAAGGGCACACGCTCCATTCAATTGTTGGAAGGATCGCTAAGTAGGCAGTTGCAGCCCTTGTTACCATCAGGAATAGCATGCGTTATGACAGCTGTACCAGAATTGTATGGGAAACATGCGCTAAAAGCTTCCGGCATGTATCTGCGTCGTTCATGATGTACTCTGCATGGCTGCAAGATGAAACTAGCACAACCACCAACCGCAAGCTGATCATCCCGAACCCCCCTTGCGTCCCAACCTAGAGGAAAATGCAGCACGGCAATCATCATAAACTCAACGGACTACTTTGAGTGGAAGATCGCCTAGATGACACAAACAAGAGGTCATCACCTGTTCATCACAACAAGTAGGAGAATACGCTTCAACTCTTCTCCCACCGCGCTGGCTTTTGCTACAGGCAGCACTGGCGCAAGAGACGCCTCGATCTCTGTGAAGGCACATGCCGGCTTTCGGACAGAGGCAAGTCGGGTAGCAGAATCCTACAGAGCTTGGAGGGAAATACCGGAGGTCAGCAAATGACTGCGCGTTGTTAGAGCACGGCTACAAACTTCATCAAGTCTCGCTATCCAGGCCCTAGTTCGACTTGCTGGACATCGGGGGTCTCTCCATCATTTCATGATGCTGTTCTGTATTCCTAGACGAGTAATTACTAACAGCCTCCTTAGAAGGCAAGGATGTCGCATAGCGGCCCCATCTCAGGACGTGGCGCCGCCTCTGCAGCCAAAAGAGGACATTTGGTTGCCATTGGCTTTATTCTGGTGCTTTAGGTACAGGATTTTCATACACTACCCAGACAGGAACTACATGGAGGCTCTGGGCTATAATGAGTAAGACTTCGTGCCGTGGTTTTTGGGGGCACGGGGCACTCTCTAGGTGTCCGGAAACAGGGAGAACTGTCGAAACTGTTGGCAGGAAGTCCACCAGTTTTGGGATCAGTCAGATTTGGGTCCGCTTTTGAAGGCTTGCATTGGGGGGAGTGTTTCCGTAGCAGTATGTTGCAGTGCTGTTTGAGCTGTTTGCGTAAAATTGGGCTAGTTCCAAACACACCAGGATCTTTACCTAATATGATCAAAACGTCTTGGCTTTTCTTTTCACATCTTGTCGATCTTGCTCCCTTCCTGCTCCGAAAGAATACATCTAAAGTTGTCGCACCCTCAAGCATTGAAAAAACAAGGAGTGCCGCAACCTTAAGCATTTTGGGGGAGTCATGTTTGGAGCCAAAGGCCAGACTGTCACAAACAGCCATTGGAAGGGTCGGAGGGGGATTATCCTGAAGTAACCTGAGAATCTGAAGAACGACCCCTGAGCACTCCTCCAGGTTTCTGGGTCGAAACCGCTGGAATAATATGTTCACAGCGGTCTGGGGTCTGCCGAGCATGCTTGTGTGGCAAAGGTTCAAGGGGTCCACATAGTATAGTGTTACAATGGATACCAACAAATCTACATGACCCTAAAACCCTTACACCTTGGGATTTGTGGCACTAAAGTACATTCAGATCATGCAGGATTTTCTGTAATGTATACACAGTCTGTCACATGTGCATGTTAACTCGGATTGATCACATCTTGTCTCTGATGAAGAACAGCTTCATGCCTTGAGGGTCTCAGAAGTCTGGTCTTCGCTGACTGAAGCATGGGTCATTGTAGTTTGACCGAAGACCCTGACAACAGCACCCCACCGCTCCCGCCCTCACCTTTTGATCTGCAGATCTTGTGAGGTGAAAGAGATTTGGGATGAATGGACCTGGGTCCAAGAAAATGTTGCTGGGCCATTGCTCGCGTGAACCTTGCAATGCCATCCACCGCTCTTGGCGCAGGCTATGCTGTCACTCAAAGTCTCTTGGGAATACTATACACGAGCCGAGCAGGCAATGCGTGGCAGGCAGTGTGGAGAAGAACGTCGGGAGCCACAAGCATGTTGGTCCAGGATGCGCAGCGGCGCGGCGCACAGGGATTGCAGCCTGCAGGTTCCTGTTAAAGAAACACTCATGGCCTCCGTGGCCTGCTCCTCTTACTGCTGCTAGGAGCTTCGGAGACGCATGAGCATGCAGCTGCGGCTCTCCGTGAGTAGATGGAATGTAGACAGGGGGACGGTGGTATGTGGATGTACCCTTGAATGAACCTTGAGAGAATGAGCTGCTCGCTGTATCAGAACTCGTCGCTGCTGCGAAGCAGGGGACGTAGCGCCACGGTCTCTTGAAGCCCATACCATTTTGCAATACCGGTGGGGTCACCATGGTCAGATAAGGCAAAGGCAGTCCGATGCTCGTTGAAAAGCAGCTCGATCCGCAAGCTGGACATGTTTGGCCTTGGGCTGTCACTTGGATTGATGCAAAGACGATATGTGACTTGACATCCCCAATATGGACCTTTCAGATCAAGTTTGAATATACTGAGGTGTCAGTGGTTTCTTGCGCGGTGTCTCTTCTGTCTCTAGCTTTGTAATTAGACTGTGTCAAGCACGCCTGGGTCAGGTCAATTCATTGCCGGCATTTGAAGCGCCCGAAACAACAAGATTCCTGTAAAACCTGACGTTCTTAACTTTTGCAAAACAACAAAGCCCATTTGGGATTCAGTAGCGCCCGACCCTTCATCCTGCATTAGCAATCAGCAACGAAGAGCCAAGCGTCAGATTTAGCAGTAGCGCGTCGCGAAGGCCCTCCCCAATGTGGACCCATGCACCCACCTCAATGTCAGACGTCTGCATCCTATCGTTTGGTACCTACAAACGGTAATTCCTTTGGTAGTCGGACCGCCCAACCCGGGTGCAGGAGACCTGGATATAGCGGCTTCTCGAGCAAAGGATCTTGTTTTGGCAGGCTGCTAGGGTGAGGACGGCATGCTATAAGCGGCGACCAGACATGTGAGATATAGCAACATCCTAAAGGTCCAAGTACCCAAATATTAGGGTTGTAGGTAACCTAAAGCCTTTTGTTGGGTACTTGGATTTTTAGGGACACCCACCCATCTGCAGAACCCGTGCGGCCTTCGGGATGTAAACATCATCAACCCTTCCACTTTGGAGTGAATCTCGCTGTGCTAATAGAGTTTAGGTGGTAGGGTTTGGGGTTAGGTTTAGTGGCACTGTATGAGAAAACCTCATCGTCCAAGACCTGCCCCTCAATCACCTACCTAGATCAAAGTCTACTCAAGTCCCGAAAAGCCTAGTCCTAGTATCCCCCTTGATAGCCCCCATAATATTCCTCTATATATTATAAACCCCCATATAACCCCTTTAAGGAGTTTAGACCCCGTCCACCCTTGTAAACACCCGAACCAGTTGCCCAGCCACGCCCCACGTGTCCGTCACCTTGCTGCTTGAGGTGGAAAGGACAAGCAGTAACTCCTGTAAATCCATTATATGGTAGTTTCCCAAATTAAGGGGACCCCAATATAGGTACCCCTAATTTTGGGAAACTCCCATATATGTATGTGTATATATATGTACATGTAGAAATGAAATGAAACAAAAGTATATGTGTAATCCCTTGCAATCCCTCTGTAATGGTTCCGATCGAACTTCCAAGTAGACCCCTATAAGAGTATCTCAGCGAGTCACAAGCAACCCTCCGGGCACGAAGCGGAAAAGCCCTGCATGGCAAAGTTGGCTTATTGGCTGCTTGTAGACCTTGGAATGGTATATAGTCCCCCTTTATGGTTTTGTGTATTTACTAAGATCCCCATACACCCCAAATTCGATCTACTTAAGGGGGACTATATCTGCACTGGAGGAAATCTGGCAACATCTCAGACACTCCCAAACGGTGGGAAATACACTTTACTGGGGATCCGAAGTGCTGCAAGATTCTCCGTACCAACCCAAGGACTCTATAGGGGCTTGAGGATTGAAGGCTATGATAAGAAGCTCAGGAGATGAGAGTTTAGGCTTTGTAGAGCTTGAGGCTTACAGGGCCTTCAGGGCGTTCAAGGGCTTAGGGGATCATCAACCTGAATACTTGCAATGGGGACTGTAATCCATGGGGTTGTGTCGCAAGGAGCCCTTGAACATTAGAACAAGGAAGGACAACAAAGGGTAAGGATATCTCGGATCCCAAGGACCAAGTAGCGCAGATTCGCGAAGGGGGGCTGCAGCTTCTGGGGCTTCACAGACCGGCATGCGACTCCTTCGGATAAGTTGGTCATCGCCGGGGTTACGGCTCCCGTGGCTGGATCCCATAAGTTGTAAGACCAGCTACTTCCATCCCAGCCTTGCCCGAGCTTCCTGCAGTTCCTTAGAATGCGCCTTCCGGAAAGCTCCCTTACAGTTTGCAACACCCCTTCTTCAGTTCCAAGGTCATGGAAGGCCATGTGCCTCAGATAGGGAAGGTGGCGCAAGGAGTTGTATGCGTCTGCCCTGACATGGTGGTAGTCATGATTCGCATCGATGATTACGGCATCCACGCGGTTGTTACGGAAGGTGGTCCAGCTGTCGGCCATGAGATTGGCAGCCAAGAAGACCACATTGGTCATTTTTGCAGTTCTTGCAGCTGCAACTCTAAGCAGTTCCTCTTTGAGGTCCACAGCGATGACCTTCTGGAAGATGCTGGCCCAAACTGCTGTAGAATACCCGTGATGGACGCCAAGCTCCAGAACCGTCATTCTAGGCGAACCTAACTTGCAGAAATACTCTGCCAGGTGCCGCTTGAACAGCTTGGAGCTTGTCACCTTGTCCTCCTCCTTCTCGGCGGATTTTGCAATTGCAAGGTCTGCATTGGCAATGCAGCTCGCTTCAGTTGGCACAGAAGTGATGTCGGCAGAGACCAGTAAGGCACCAATCTGCACAGAAAAGATTGCACAATACTTGCCAAACATCAACAATCAGGCGCAATGTCACGGTTTGCAAGCGTTGGAACATGTGCAAGTGCTTCTGCAGAGGATAAATGCATCTGGGGCTTCAATCAAGGTACCGCATAATCCTTCCAGATTCTACTCAGCCTGCCGGAGCCAGATGAGACGTGCATTCAACATGCCAAACTCTCAGAGGTTTCTCCAGTCAGTCTTGCACCACAGTCCAGAAATCACGTACAAGATATGGTTTCACTCTCCAGGAGCTGCTACCTGCAACAAGCATACACATGAAAGTCAGGTCACCTTTTCGCTTGTTATCCCGTCACCTAGAAAACCACAGGGCCAGTGCTCAGTACCACAAATACCTCTGAAATGATGCCAGCTGCGCGAGCTCACTGACCTGCGAATAACTAAGCCGTCGACCTCAGTAAGCGTACCCGACCTATAGAAACCTTTGAGATGGGTAACGTACTAAACTATACCCTACTAATCAGGCCTACTAAGCAGGTATATTGACGCTCCGCTGACCAGTGGTGTGAACCTTCGGAAAGGCCAAGGTCCCTCAAAGCAACCCCTCACATCACCCCACCATCTTCATTTGACCAGGTCCAAGGAGTTCAAGTCCCCGATGCGAGCCAAATCTAATGAGGCTACAGCACTCCCCTCCCAAACCCACTTCGCCCACATGCCGAACCTGAGAAACCCAAACTCCAGCCATCCATATACGCCTTTTACAACAACCCTGATCCCCATTAGCGAATAGAACCCTCTGAAAGCTATATCAACAGATATAAACAAACTCTACATCCCTCAACCGCCCCCCCTTAACCCTCCGGCCCGGTCGTCCATAACGAACACACCATTCAGGGCGTGCAAGCCCGGGACCGTCACCAGCAGCTGCATAGGAAAGCGGTGCCTGGCAACACCATGCCCAAAGGATCCACATGAACAACTATAAGGAAATCATGTATCAGGATTAAAGGTTTAACCCATAAATTCTGGATTTTTTGGGCGCCTGACTCCAAAATGGCGATATATCTGGGACCTTCTGGGATTCCGCTGTGAGGCTGAGGGTTGGAACCCAAAAAGGACCCTCAGGTAGACACCAAACTCACAGGATCCCCGAATAAATGGCGAAAAAAATGGCTATCCCTTGACAAGATACCTACACCTGCACTCTGAGACCTACAGAAAGCAGCACATAGCCGCAGTATTTGAGCCTTATCTCATGCTGTAAGCGGGGTCTAAGTTCGGGGGGGGGGGTGTCCCTTGCGTGTTATCTAGAACATTGCTCCTCTGGTTCGGGCGCTAAGAGGTCCTAAGTCTTACTTTTGAAGACCACCATTTGCCCGTATCATCTGACGATGACCTCTGTAGAAAAGCTTTCTGCCCGTGATGATACATGGGCCACATACTCCCTTGGCAGCTACCTTCCTAGGCAATTGCAACTTGCATGTTCACAGGCAATACATAATCGTTTTGTAGCATATGCCCTCAAGTGATCCTCAATAAAATGCGAAAAGAAAGCCGTAAACCCCAAACCCTAAACCCTTACCCCCCCCCCCCTAACACTATACAAACCAGAATCGCACAACCGAAAACCCCAAGCCGTACTTCTGCAGGGGGCTGTCAAGAAAATATCTCGAAGGCATCTGAGCCTGTGAACCTACATCCCCAAACTGTAAACCCTACACCATATGGTGGATGGAGGAAATCTTGCACCACTTAATATCCGCAGTGTATTGTGAAAAGCATTTTAGGGGACATTACGCAAGATTTCCTCCATCGAAGGTGTCCCACAAAGCTTTGGCGAAGCTCCGTGCCTGTCTCCAGGCTGAAGACCTGGCAATCGTCGCTCCACACTGAGCAGCCTGGGCGACTGAAAGAAAGTCTATGAGGGTTTTCTGCAGGTTTATGATTCAGGGGTTTTCTGGAATGTAAAGTGTAAGGTTTCCGGGCTGAAGGATCTCAGGCTTTGGTCGTTGAGGTTCAGGGCAAAGGCTGGTCTCTTGAAATGTCACGACATGCCTCGTTACAATTACTGCAGACGCTAGTGAACAGGAGCCTCTTCTTTCATGTATTACATCTCTTCCGGAAACAACACTTGCAAAGAGAAACCGTACTCTTCTGTTAGAGCCTTTTATAAACCTCAAACCTAAACCGACTACGCCCAAAACCGAAGGCCCGGATTCTTGCGAACGCCGAGTTGCTTAGCCGCGCCCATCATGCGAAGGTCAAAGTGCATCTGGTCAGCTCAGAAAAGTGGAATCCACATTGAATGCAAATGTCAGGGCTCAAGGCTCAGGGGTTGAGGCCTTACAATGCTTAAGGAATTCGTCGTTAAGAGCCCAATTCAATTGAGGGCATGTCGAACATTCCCCGAGGGAAGGGTTGTAACCCGCTTGGGGATACCGCCCACTCCTCCACAACCCAATATGAATCTAAACTCCTAATCCCTGTAAACCCCTATTGTGGAAACACAAATGCCTGCATGACCGCGGTTTACTGGAATACCATACTTCCCAAGGTAAAAGGTACGTAAGGTCATGCAAGGTTTTTAGTAACTACCGTATAAACACCAGCTTCAAGTTCATGTTCCATCTTCTTGCCCACTTCATTCTCCTTTATTGTGGCAATTCTCTAAAACCTAACACCAAACAGGGACCCTGACTTGGAAGCTCCTTCGCAAGATTGTCAGAGGCTGCGAAGGAGTGGCACCAAAAGATTGAAATCAAACTCAAGCAGCCAAATGCTTGCGGTGCATATAGCCCCTACGTAATGCATGGTACTCCGTTCTTATCTATATCAACCCCATATCATCCCTATATAATCCCTAAATAACCCCGATTCGGTGCTCCAAATCATTTGTATGTTGCCTCTCTGAAGTTCTGAGGGTTTTTCTTACACTCTCAACAAAATCAAAAAAACTCCAAGCTGCGGGCCATGGTTAGGGTTTAGGGTTTAGTAGATTTAGGTTTTAAGGTTTAGTAGGTTTGGGGTTTAGATGCCCTTGTGAGCAGCACCCCCTTCCTGCAGTTTCTATTTCATCTTCCATGTTCTTGACCACTTGATTCTCCATTACTCTTCCTAGAGCCTACCTGTGACTCCAACTGCCTACAGT